TAGTCACGGCTTTTCACTAGAACCCCAGGTTAAACTGCCTGAATAGGGCCAGTCACTCAATAGTGAGCATTGGATTAATTTCCAAGTATTGGTTTTGTAGAAATTTTTTGTTGGTTTGATTTGTTCGAAGATCTCATTATGAGCTGACATCAGTTAATGAATCATTGAAAAACCGACAGCATTGTTGAAGAGTCCCAAACTAGGATAAAATGGCTGTTCAGTACTCCTTGCAGATTTTCCAATGGTTCTATAGATGATATCAGCTCATGATGAAATCTCTACAAAACCAATACTTGAAAAACTAATAATAATACCTAATTCTGTAAGCAACAGCGTACACTTTGAAGTACTTTTTTGGGTTACTCTGATGAAAAAACTACGCGACTGTATACATTGTATGACTGACTGTGTATGTTTAAATCAATTGTCTTTACTTAACATCACCTAAAAATACTTCTAGACATCTCTTTTAGCGTGTATTGTAAACACCATCTAAGTAATTAAGTGTACAGTAGAAGCAAAAAGTGAATCGATCACCTAACCACCCACACGCACATACACACACACATACATACGCACCACTGCCTTGTCTATAAAGTTTACATTTTCACCAGTGTTCAGTGTAAACTACACTATTGTGCTGTAAGTAATCGATTATCGCCTATGGATTCATAAAGATATAAATCATTATTAAAAGAAAAAAGACATAAAACTAAGATGTAAAATATTTACACCAAATACAAATACAAATGTTTACTATAATGAATAATAAATCATAGTTTTAAATTAAATTATGATCTCAACTTTCATTCGAATGAATCGCCTCTAAATGGACATTCAATGTTCCTCTCTTTGTCTCATATTATTATCATAACAATAGGTGTGGTAACATTGTAACAACAGAAGACAAGGGCCACGAAACAGATCGTTTATTAACGAAATCAACACACATTAATAGATTTTCATGTACATTATTATAGATTATTGTTAGCAGAAAAACACAGTCTTCTGATTGGTGGTTTCTCTCTGAACGTTAATCTTCCATCTCTTTGTGGCTGTTTCTTGAAGTTCAGATTATCTATCTACGAATCGTATTCACCCACGCTAAGTCTGCTGTGATTGGTTGTTGAATCAGTCTTTGTTCATATTTTCCTCATGATCAATATTGGGGACATGAACACTGACGTAAATTACTGTCTACCAGTTTTGACTAGCAGCCAGCTCTCAACACACCCGTCTCCCCGTCAAAGACTTGCGACTGAAGTTGGTTCGGTCTTCTTGGTTCTAGGGACTTTGTTCTTTTGTCTTCGTGTCTGGAATCTCGGCGCTCGCTGTTGTTCACCTGTTTCTCTTTCTTTACCATTGCGATTGTGTCTGCGTAACCCCATCTCAAAGTGACCATATGTGGTCCTTCACACTTTGGAAACTTTTCCTGACCCTGTCACACATTGGTCGGTATTTCGCCTCACACAACTTCATATGCTGCTTTCTCCCGATCTCCGAGCAAAGTCCCAATTAACAACCTCATCGCTGACAGATGTTGAACGCCACTCAACTGCTCAGAAGTCTCGAAGTCCTGTCCGAAGATCCATATGTATCCATCAAAAACTGGAGGGCATAGGCTTTCCATTTGTCCGTAGGCAGCGATACCAAATGTAACAACAGAAGACAAGGGCTAGGGAATAGATCTTTTATTTAGGAAGTCAACACATCTTTTTAGATTTTCATGTACATTATTATTATTCGTTATTGTAAGCAAACAAACACAGTCTTCTGATTGGTGGTTTCCCACTGAAATTTAATCTTTCATCTCTTTGTGGCTGTTTCTTGAAGTTCAGATTATCTACTTCTATTTAATTTCAGCATAAATGTATGTGTTAATGGGTTTAACCGTAACTCTCAAGGATCAAATTGTTACCACCAGGGAATTATCTCGTTGACTTAGAATATGTAGATGATATAGTCCCTCCACATAGGCGAAGACGCTAATAAAATAGATCAGAGTCTTCGGAACACCATGAGCAGTGAGCAATCTACGAATGTTTGACATGTGATTCGCTCCTGCTGTGAAATGTAAGATGATGCATGCAACTGGACTGGAGTGGACTATGTTGACACCTAGCTTAGAAATAGGGAGTGAAATGGTGGAGCATCAGCCAACTCCAGTGGGTCGATCGCTGACGAAATCTCAGCATAGATACAAAAAGGCTCGTTTAGCATACGTTAACACACCATTTCTGGCGTATATGTGTTATCCGGTCGGTTATCGAGCAAAGGATGTGTGTACTGCTCAGCTACACTTTGCTCCGTCCTTCTTTATATGACTGTGAGCGATACATGGCTATTGAAAGTGGAAGGCATGAAGAGGCTAGCTGTCTTTGACCATAGGTACCTGCCTTCTATCTCCCGTGTGTGTTAGGTGATGGTATAATAGGGTGAGTAATATTGAGATTAGGCAGTGTATTTTACTTGTGTACGACTCCTCTATCGCAGGTCAAGCCCACGCCATAGCATATGGAGGGTTGACTATCCCGTCAGAGACGAGGCAGCCAAAGGCATCCCCCCCGTCATATTAGAACACCTAATCAGGAACACATACTCACTGGAGCCAGCCCAAACCCCTGACTCATGGACCGAGATCCCAACCTCCAATCCATAACCCACTGCACAAGACACCACTTCAGACTGGCCTCGACTAACACAGCTGCCCTGCCACGCCTCATGTTTGGGATTACCAGTCCTCCGCAGCCATCCGCTAACCAGTTGTTGTTGGTCCCGGCTCTCTCGTCAAGAATCCAACAGAACTTGGCCCCGCCGATGTCTCGTACACCGCATAAAGCCTAAGGACGGCACCGCTGCTTCATCAAGACTGAGTAGCCAGACACGAGTGTTGTCTCATGCTGCAGCAGATCTTTGCTGGAGCTCGGTTTGCCCGCCGATAAGCTCTATCCAGCGGTCACCCCGTGGAGGTGCAACTATATCTCTGTCCCGCCATTATCCATGCCCGGTTGAGTTTCTTCACGTTGAGACTCAGAGCACTCAACCGAACTGGGTAAACCAGATGGAGACTTTCGCAAGAGAAGCCGATATTGAAAAGCACACGATGGTCGAAGGTTTTTAGACCTCGCACCGCATGTAGGTCCTCCCTGCTAAGTCCCTCAAAATTCGACGATGAGCGGTATCTAATGGACGCTTTTGCAAAGAGACTCGAGTGCTAGGTAAGGAAAACAAAATAAATAAATCGATGACGTGGTTGTGAAGTTACATCGATTGAGATGGTTGGGATGTGTGGTAAGCATGCCTCGCCTTTCTCGACATGCATTATTCGGTGATAATATCAGGTTGGAGAAGAGCTAATGGTGTTGAAACCAAAATATAGCATCAGTCTATGAAATCCAGAACAGTTAGTTTAAGCCGGCCATGTAGGGAGATGTAGACTGACTGGCTGGCTGATTGGGGTTCTCACAATGGTTAGAACCAATGACGGTGCCTGGAGACAATTGGTAATATGGCTCAAAGTCGGCGTTCTCAATGGCTGGTGCACATGCATCCACTCATTGTGACTTTATAATATCCAAAAAAAACTATATTCTTCTTCCATATTACTATTCCTTTTGTCTCATATCCCTGTCTACTATCTCTTTTATGCATTTCTTTTACTTTCTTCTCTTGCTTTGTATTCTACAAGGAGAGAGCGTGGCGAATTGAACTGCTGCACATCGGTGTAAAGTTGTTCCATGTGGAAAACAGGCACACAGATAAATTAAGGCAAAACTTCAGGCATTATCCAAGTATCTGTTCAAAGTAACCACACAGCATAAGGCTAGAAACTTTAAGATTTGAGGTTTCAGTAACGCTTGTGTTGTTTATATGGGGTGAGATCACCTGCTGGGCACTTACCACCAGTCGGGCGTTATCTCCTAGACCACTTGGGTCATGTTTCCAGCGTTAGATAGTAGAATATAGTTGAGTAATATTGAGGATAATAGTAGTGTTAGGTAAAGACGCGATATCAATCCATGGGGTTGTGAAGCTACATCGATTGACATACCTAGAACACACGTGTTGCGCATACTGATCAACCGCCTTGCTTAACAGACAATCTTAGCTGCAATAGGATTAGGTTGAAAAGAGTTACGGATGATCAAACACAAGAATGGTATCCATTCATCAATTCTCTGACAGCTATTTTGAGTGACGTAGACAGACTTAGAATGTCTTGCTTGGGGTCCTCAGGATTCTAAGAAACAATGCCATGAGACGATTGGTGATATGGCTTGGTCTTACATAAATTTATCTATCGTTATTCTAATAGTGCAGTACTGTGGAGTAATACAGTATCAACTACAGTTATATGACAATGTCAAGTGTCATATGATCCACAACATAAAACTCAGCGACAAAGCCGTTGAAGTGATTTGTAGAATTAAGGTAACGCTAGCTGCTGGACTATTATCTTAATTTTGGTAGATAGGATTATGCGTCAGGCTGTACATCGGATAGGGTCGAGGAGACAGGAATACGCTCGACTAACTAAATTGTTCTTAGTTATTACTGTTCCTTTTGTCTCATATCCTTGTCTACTGTCTCTATTATGCATTTCTTCTCTTGCTTTGTGTGCTACATGGAGGGAGGGAGGAAGTGTGGTGACTTGAACTGGTGCACATCGGTGCAACACACGTTGTTTTCTATGTCGAAAACAGACAGAGTGATTTTTTTTGTGCAGAGAACAAGATCAAGACAATATATGTATGATGGTTCGAATGTATGCAAGATTACTTTTTTATGTGTGCTATAAGTGTTTACATCATCTGGGTGGTAACTATGCCTTTTTTGTTTTTTTTTATTCTTTACTCTATCCTGGTGAGATATTGCTTAGCTTTATGCATGCACACAAATCTATTGAATGTAATAAGTCTGTTTTCGGTATATCAATTATTATTGATTTATTGTTATTATTATTATTACTATTACTATTGTTTCTTTGTATTATCCTTTAGCTAAAGATAACAGCAGTCAAGCACCAAATCAACTCATTCACACTGGAGGCATAAATCAATCCCTGCTATACTATAAAGGCAGCTATTTTCCTATAAATTTACAATCTAAAGGGATTCTGTAAGTCTGTACTTGATCTGTGTGTGTGTATGTGTGTGTGTGCCTTTGCGTATGCCCATAAAAATTCATTCGTCTGATTGTTGTCTTTGTCTTCATCGTTTAAGAGAGGGAAATAAAGCATAAATCATCTTTTTTGGTGCGCGTCACCCAGTGCAGCCAGTGCAGTCAGAGACGTTGTTACCTACCACTGAGCAGCAGCTATTCGAGTTCGCGACTGACATCCTGCAGTGACTAGTGTAGAGTGTGTCTAATCCTTTCTGTTTGATGCAAACTGAATTCTATCAGTTTTGAAGTTCAAATCTTAGAAGGTACATGACTTCCTTGAAGGTTGCAGATATACACCTGCCTTGTTGACTGACTAGTGGTGAGTTCCAACTAGCACGAAACCTAGGTGCCGCCGACAAGGCTTCCTGTGGCTAATTGTCTCTAAACAATCTAGTTATTATCAACATTGCGAATTGCACTGTGATGGCTAGCCGCATTGTAAACTTGATTGACAGAATTCATTCCTGTAGCCTCATCATCTTACATTTGGCGGGAGCGAATCGCTAGCATGCCAAACATTCGTAGATTGCAGCTCAATGTGTTCAGAAGACTCTGCATATTGTCAGCGTCTTCGCCTAGAAGGACTATATCATCTGCATATTCTAAGTCAACGAGATTATTCCCTCCCTGGTAAGCGAGTCAATCGCTGAAGTGCGTTAGGCTTAAGTCCATCAGTACATCTATGATGAAATTGAATAGAAATGGGGATAATGGGCTTCCCTGACGGACGCCACTAGTCGTCACCACTTCAGATGACAACCCGCCGTAGGTCCTCACCTGGCTGGCTACATGACTTCGAGTAGAGTGAGTGCGTTAATCAGTGCAATGTATTTTCTCGTCATTCCCCTTACAGCCAAGCATCGCAAGAGTACCTCTCGGTCGACAGAATCAAATTCCGCCTTTAGATCAAGATATATAATGATTGTTGGACGCCGGTAAGCATGCCTATGTTCTAGAATTTGTCGAAGGGTGAAGATATGATCCATACACCCTCTTCCTGGTCTAAAGCCTGCCTGGTTCTCTCGTGTTTGTGCCTCCCAAAGTAGTTGGAAAGGCTCTGACAGGCATTCTTTTAGCAATATTAGGTGTAAGCAGTTGAAGAATCTTGATGATGTTGGTTTCCTTCATGATATAATCTTCAAACTTCTGGATAGGCTTTATAAATCGGAAAATTGTTCTCTCGCACAGAAACACACACACACACCTTTTTATCATTTTATTAGTTATGATTCTGTTGCTCCTTTTCTTTTATGCATATGCGGTTTCAGGCTTTTGACGACTGGAACTAAAGCACTTTTTTTGCAAGTTCCTAACTTTAATCAATAAATTAGTGATTTTTCTACATCATCTAATATCGTAGTTGTATCGAATTTCTTCATACACAAAATATCGATCCCTGGATTAGTCGCCAGGTAATTGTTACTTTTAGTGTTATAGAAAAACCTATTGGCTATGAAGTTTACTGACTATCAGGAAGGCGTGATGAGAACAAATAATCGCTAAAGACACTCGCTTAGTGTCAGTCGTGCTTTGTCGTGAATTAGCGGCAGCAGTTGGAATTCATGCACTGGCCGTTGGATTAGGTCTCAGTGGCTTAATGGTCTACGTGCTCGCTAGCCTTATAATCCGAAGGTCCTGGGTTTGAACCCTTGCAGTGAGGTGGGAGCGTACTGATGACATGTCCCAAACTGCTACGAAACAGTTAACTGTCCGATACTACGTGTAGCTGGCTTTCCAATGGTTCTCTAACTGATGTCAGCTCATGATGGGATCCTCCTTCTCGTGTTGCTTTTTCTTTCTTTCGTAAAATCGTAATCCTGTGTATTCGTCTTCTATGTAAAATGTTTTCTTCTCTTCTTTTTCTTTAGACTTGAAATGCTTGATCGTAATGAACCACCTGTATTGGCTGATGGTTATTGTCTATCTCTAGCTGTTGTCTGCCTTCGTAAAACAGTGGAATCCTTAAAAGTGATTGTAAATGCTAATTTGGCTGCAATCTCTAATATTGAAAATAATAACAATAACAGTAACAATAATAATAATAATAATAATAATAATAATAATAATAATAATAATAGCGCTAATAATGATAATAGTAATAATAATATATTAATGAAACCGGATATTGTTATCTGTGAAAGAATTGTTTCTAACTCATGGTGTGGACTGTTGTCTTCGTTTAGTTTATTACTGGAATCAAGGTAAGTTTAGAGGGCTTGGTTTACTCAGAACATTTCTTGATTTTAAACTGATTTTTATTATTATTATTATTTCCTTTAATTCCTAGAGGAACAAAGGACCTCAGCTGCCCGCGTCTCCATTGTGTCCGGTTCTCTGCTAAAGTTTTCACCTGGCTCCACGTCTGCCCACATGCTTTCATCTCCTCTTCACATGACCTCCTCCTCCAAGTCACCCTTGCACTGACGACCAACTCGCCGCTTCCCTTTTGGGTTCCACTCAAGCGATGGCTTGTCTAGTGATGTCACATGCTGGTATCCTCAGAGTATGGCCAGCCAATCCACCTCCATTTCTTCCTGCTTATTTGTTGCATAATCAGTTCCCTGCTGTGTTGGTTCGCTCATTCCCAGAGGTGCCTATTGCTGATCCTTTCTGGCCATTTGATCTTGAGTATTGAGCGAAGACAGCTAGCTGTTAGTGAAGGTGTATAGTTTGTCCGTGGTGCTCTTTATGACGCACAGTGCAAGTCTCTGATCTGTATAGTAGCATTGACTTTACATTGGAGTTGAAAATCTGGATGTTTTTTTTGCATGGTGAATAGTTCTGTTGACTTTCACACAGACTTGAGAGTAATGAAAGCTTGTCTTGCTTTCCTGATTGTTGCTGCTCTGATATCCTCATCAGTTCCGTTGGCCTGTAGTTGAAACGATGCTTCCCAGGTCAGTAGGTGAAGGAGGTTGTTTCTTTCAGGTTCCTCCCATTTATGCTCATTGCTGTCTGTTGTTGTTGTTGCTGTGGCTGTTAGTGTTACCCAGGAACCTTCATCACCCCAGTTTTTCTCTATGTTTACTTGGAGTCCAATCTTTGATGCTTCTTCTATCGCCAATTTGTTGCTTTTCATCACTTGCATATCTTCCAGTTTGTGGGAAATCAGACATATCATCATTGGCGGAGTCCAGATCCTCCAAGTTTTTCGTGAGGGTCCATTTTATGCCTGTTTCCTCGTTTCCCGGTCCGCTATCTGTCGCATTATCCAGTCTACCACCCTCGATCAGTAAAATCCTTGGAGATAGTAGGCAGTTTGGTTGTCTTACCCCTGTTTTCACTTCGAAGGATTCCGTAAATAGCTGTACTGACAAATTTATCAGGGAACACATGACAAAGAAAGCGGAAAAGGACTAGTCACTCGCTCTCCGTTAACAGGAAAGTTTATACACATGACTGCAATTCAAGGCCGTTATACCAAGCGAAATAATTACTACGAACTTAAGAAAATCAGTTCAAAGAACTTTTATTGTTGGCGAACTACACGTCTCATTCTCTACACGACCGATGGTGCTACCTCGACTGAAAAATGAAGTATCTAGACTAGATTAACCACTTCAAATTGTATCTACCAATTCAGCTGCGCTTATGGAGGGAGTTATATCGGCCGTTGCTCTGGGAACTTGATTTTTCGTGCTCAAGAACATATCCCACTATGACGAAGTAAGGGTGTAGTGAAAACCTTCAACAGTTCGATATTAGACCATCTGATCCAAACCGGCCGGCCATAAAGCCAGCCAGCATTGAAGAATCCTTCTCTATCATCTACCAGGTGCCTAATAAATTGCCGAAAACAGCAGAGATTATGGCGATTCGCGTGAAACAACCAGTACTCTGTGTGTGTTTGTGTGTGTGTGTGTGGAAGAAGCGAGTCCAGTCCCTACCACTGCCCTGGCTGGCCTTCAGTAGAGACTATAAATTCACGAATTTGTAATATTATCTTTCTTAATTTTTCTGACATTCAGCTTTTTTTATGTTTATGCTATTGAGCTGTAATCCATTGGTGTTATTATTGATTCGATGTTATTTAAACAGCAACATTAATGTTGTTCATAACACTAATTCATTCATTCATTTTAACGTCATTGTAACTGTAGAGCCTGATGATGAAGGGGGGTTATCGAAAAGAGTATTCTTTGTTCACTTTGTCCATTCTTTTGAAAGGTTAGTATCTAAACGCTAAGAATCCACTGTCAAACATTAATGCCTTGCTTAGAGATGCATTCTGAAGAACACAAAACTAGGTTACATTCCATAGATTATTATTATTATTATTATTTGATATTGTAGATGCATCTTCGAGAATAAAAAATTCAAAAGTATTGTTACGAAATGTCAACTTAAAGTTTCTTATTTATAATAATAATAATAATTAATTTAAAATAATTTAAAACCAATTTAGAACAAACATTTATAAAATGTAATCAAATTACCTCATTTTAAGAGAACTTTATTCACATGACCGTCATCGATTTTTATTTTGGGGTCATATATGACATTTCAGTTTCAGTGAGTAATATAAAATAAAAAGAGACTCACGATTCACTGACAATCTCCAATCCAGCAGAAATATCTTCATGCATTTATTCCCCTTGATGAATTTGAATAAAGCAAGTGGTTTGTGCAGAACAATATGGTACCATCATTGCTTATTTCGTTGGCTTCTCATCAGCTTAACTGCTTACAGCTTACAGCCTAAATAAATTATGAGGTTTAAGTACAGAAAAGTTTTAACATACCTGCAAATTTTACATGTTGTCAGTTGACAGAAGGTTCCACAATAAGTGAGCAGTGCTCATAAAATTGCACTTATATAGTTTTTACACAGGCAGTTCAAGTTAAAACAAAATAAATGTATGCATATAATGGTAAGGGAGTTACGTAATAAAGACAAAATATGCGTTAGATACAGAGTGACTAATAAATTAGGTAACAATTTACTGAGTTGAACTCAAATCATAGAAACAAGAGACAAGCAAAATTACAGATTATAAAAGGGGGTGAGGTTAAAGACAAAGATTACGTAATCAAATGAGAGAATAAAAACATTCAGTTACCAGGGCAAGGAAAGACTAATAACTGCTTCTTTCTGAACACATAAATCTGGTTTCAAGCGTTTGATAGAAATTGCTTCGGTAAACTCAAGGAGAATGGAACTCCTTTGTCTATTGATAATTTTGAAGGATTTCTCAATTTCTACCTCATGACTCGTGTTGAGGAGATGTCTAGTAATACCGCTACTATAAGAGTTTGTTCCCTCAAAACGTAGACTTTTCGGCACATGTCCAGAAAATCGGAGGTGTGTCCTTCTTTCTGTTCTCCCAATGTAACTGCTCCCGCAGATACACGTAAATTTATATACACAGTTGGAGTTAACATGAGAAGGGTATCTATTCTTAATTTCACAATGGATTTCCACTGGTCTGTTATAACCTTTTGGCTTCTTCTAGGCATCTGTTATTGAATTATTGAACATTGTACGGAGGAAGAAAAACTGTAGGACCTATTTTTTTCCCATATATCTAAGTCAACATGGTATACGGAATAGTGGCAATCTTAGTTTCTGTAAATATGGATCACTAAAATGGTACTGCTACTAGATATAGTCAATATACTATGAATTATCTAGATAATTTGTTACGGTATTGCTCTTATTCCCTTGGGTTCCGAGTGGAACATAGGGCTTCAATAACACATCTGCACTCTTCTATTTTCTGCTGTCCTATTTAGCTGGCTGATCCCACGATTGCCCATGATCTCTCATCTCCTCCTCCTCCGCCCCCTCCTGCAACACACGATCTCCTCCATGTCAATTTCGAATTGACGACCCACTCGTTGCTTTTCATCCCATCTTCCACTCGATCGATGGCCTGCATTGCTCACAATGTCATTAGACGGTCACCTCCGAGTGTGTCCTGTCTATCTCCACTTTTGGCTGGTGTGTGTTCCACTGCAGAGTTTCTTGTTGATAATCCTTTCAGGCCGACTGGCCATTTGATCGTCAGTATAGAGCCAGCCGACCAGCGAGCGAAGTGGGCAGTTGTTGGAAATGCTTTTCATGACACGAACGCAGTGCACGTTTCTGACTGACTGACTTGACATTTGTGTTGAACAGAGTCCGAATCTTGTTTATATTGAGGTGGAGTGAGTAGAGGAGATTTCCACACACCGGTTTCAGATTGATGAGGGTCAGTCGTGCCTTTTCGATTCTGAGTGGCTAGTTGGCTGACTGACTCTGACATGTCCATCCGACCCACTATTGTGTGGCTGAAACCGTGTTTCGTAGCCAGATAAGTGAAGGCAGGAAGTGATCTCTGTCAAATCTCTGCCGTTGGCGGTGGTTGTTATTGCTGTTGGTTTTTTGGTTGGTTGGTTGGTTAGTCATCTTCATCACCTCATCTTCTCTATGTTTATCTGGAGTTTTGTCTTGACTACCCGCTTCTTCAACCAGTTTCTTGCTTTTCACCTGACCGTTAGTCATCGAGATTGTGTGATATCAAACATTAAGCATCCATGCGCGAAATCCAGATCTTCTAATGAGTTTTCTTATCGATTAGTCCAGCGTATTCCTGTCTCATCACCCCTCTCCCCCACCAGGTACAGCCTGATGCATAATCCAGTCCAGTACAATAAGGAATCTTAATCCTTCAATTCACTTCAACGGCTTTGTCTCTAAGTTTTATGTTGTGGATCATATGACACTTGACATTGTCATATAACTGTAGTTGATACTGTATTACTCCACAGTACTGCACTATTAGAATAACGATAGATAAATTTATGTAAGACCAAGCCATATCACCAATCGTCTCATGGCATTGTTTCTTAGAATCCTGAGGACCCCAAGCAAGACAGTCTAAGTCTGTCTACGTCACTCAAAATAGCTGTCAGAGAATTGATGAATGGATGCCATTCTTGTGTTTGATCATCCGTAACTCTTTTCAACCTAATCCTATTGCAGCTAAGATTGTCTGTTAAGCAAGGCGGTTGATCAGTATGCGCAACACGTGTGTTCTAGGTATGTCAATCGATGTAGCTTCACAACCCCATGGATTGATATCGCGTCTTTACCTAACACTACTATTATCCTCAATATTACTCAACTATATTCTACTATCTAACGCTGGAAACATGACCCAAGTGGTCTAGGAGATAACGCCTGACTGGTGGTAAGTGCCCAGCAGGTGATCTCACCCCATATAAACAACACAAGCGTTACTGAAACCTCAAATCTTAAAGTTTCTAGCCTTATGCTGTGTGGTTACTTTGAACAGATACTTGGATAATGCCTGAAGTTTTGCCTTAATTTATCTGTGTGCCTGTTTTCCACATGGAACAACTTTACACCGATGTGCAGCAGTTCAATTCGCCACGCTCTCTCCTTGTAGAATACAAAGCAAGAGAAGAAAGTAAAAGAAATGCATAAAAGAGATAGTGGACAGGGATATGAGACAAAAAGAATAGTAATAACGAAGAACGATATAGTTTCATTGAAAACTATAAGTCACTAGTCATTGACAACGACGATTTTGAGTTATATCACCAATTTTATCCAGCCTTCATTGGTTTTTACCATCCCGAGGACCCCAACCAGCCAGGCAGTCTACACCTTCCTACGTGGTTGGCTGGCTTAAAGTAAATGTTGTGGATTTCATTGGATGGTGCCATGTTTTGGTTTGACAACCACTGGTCAGCTCTCTTCCAGCCTAACTTTATGTCAGCTCACTTTGCCCGTCGGTTGAGGAAGGTGATGGCCAGGCATACGTAACACATGTCGTAGCCATCTCAATCGATGTAATTTCACAGCCTCGTCGAATGATTTCCCCTCCTTACCTAGAACTCGACTCACGCCTAACCTCATTATTGCTCACCTTATTATACCATTTCACACGGGAGATAGAACGCAATCACCTATGATCAAAGACAGCTAGTCTTTTCATGTCTTCCACTCTCAGTGGCCAGGTCTCACAGCCATAAAGGAGGACGGAGCGGACTGGTGAGCAGTACACCCGCCCTTTGGTCGATATTCGGATATCACGTGTACGCCAGAGACGACGTAAACTGGCTTGTGCGAAACTAGCCCTCTGTATCCGTACTGAGATTTCGTCAGAGATCAACCCGTTGGCACTGGCTGATGGTAATTCCCAAATAAGTGAAGCAGTCAACGTGCTCTACGACTTCACTCCCTATTTCTAAACTAGGAGTCATTGTAGCCCAGTCTTGTAGGATCATCATCTTACATTTGGCGGGAGCGAATCGCTAGCATGCCAAACATTCGTAGATTGCAGCTCAATGTGTTCAGAAGACTCTGCATATTGTCAGCGTCTTCGCCTAGAAGGACTATATCATCTGCATATTCTAAGTCAACGAGATTATTCCCTCCCTGGTAGCGAGTCAATCGCTGAGTCGCTGAAGTGCGTTAGGCCTAAGTCCATCAGTACATCTATGATGAAATTGAATAGAAATAGGGATAATGGGTATCCCCGTGAGACACCCCTAGTCATCCAAAGTAGTTATGTCTGTTTTCGATATAGAACAACTTTGCACCAATGTGCAGCACTCCCTCCTTGTAGCACACAAAGCAAGAGAAGAAAGCAGAAGAAATGCATAATAGAGACAGTAGACAGGAATAAGAGACAAAAGGATTAGTAATAACGAAGAACAATATAGTTTTATTGGAAATTATAAGTCACAAGGAGTGGATGCATCTAACCGTGCCAATCATTGACAACGACGATTTTGAGTCATATCACAGATTGTCTCCAGCGGGTGATTGGTTTTTTTACCGTCCCGAGGACCCCAACCAAGTCAGTCAGGAAGCCTACATCTCCCATCGGGTATAAATTCCTGGATTCAAAGTCTTGTTATCAGAAGTATCCACTCTTGAGATTTGCCTAATTTTTGTGCATAACAAGTTATTGCATTTTATTCACTGTTATGTCCTATCCTCTTTTTTGTGTTTATAATATAATACTGATAATGACAGCGCTGATCATCAAATTACTGGATGCTTTCTTCAATCCTTACAAATTATGGTTGAATTATGCGGAAAACTGCATCTTAATGAAGCTCGAGATGCCTTCACGATAACTTTGTGTAGATCTGCACTACCGACATGTTTTGCCCGGTCATTATTGGCATCCGATTCGAAGGGAGGTATGTTACATATAACCAGTCATTCCTTAAAAGATTGTGTATATTTTTGATTATAGTTTGATTTGTGTAAGGGTTACTTTTGTTTTTACGAGTTTGACCATGGATTGATATCAGTTAGAGAATCATTGAAAACCAGCCACGAGGAGTTCTGGACAGCCAGCTGTTTCATCCTAGTACGGGAATCATCGTCAGCACACACTCACCACAGGGGGTTCGAACCCAGGACCTTCCGGTTCCAAGGCAAGCTCCCACCTGACTCTCAATGGCCAGCCCATGAATTCTAACGTCTACTAATTTGTAATTCAGCGCGACCCCAACCATTATCGTAGGTGGGATATCCATCCTCACATGTGACATCTGGATAGACTTCACTGGTCACGACTGCTCACTAGAACTCCAGGAATTTACTATTGATATTTTGATTCATTATTATTTTGTTAGCAGTATCTTCAATCAGAGAAACAAGTTTTTGTTTTTTCGATTTTTCATTTATCAAAATTCCATTATTTGTCCACGTTTATATTTGATGGTATGTGTCCACGTAAGTCATTATGCTGAAAAGGTTTATTGGAATACGAAGTTTCTATGCAATGAATTGCTTGTGAAAACTTCATATACAATTCTTTACAGCAATAAATTTGAATACAGTTAAGGACGAAATATGTCTACCAGGATAATCTGAGCTCATGTTTTGATTTTTATTATCATTTCATGGATTCTTCTCAACTGGCGGCATACAACCTGAATCAACAACCGAAATTATAAATTAAATTCAAGATCTATCTGAACACACCATTTTACATTGATAAGGAGTAATTGATTGGAACTGAAAGTAGTAACACTGGTCAAGAATGATGAAAGCTGTTGAATAATTAAGAGTGAAAAGGATCGATTTTATATATATATATATATATATATATATATATATATATATATATATTGTTTTCGAGAAATCAACAATTGTTGGGACGACCAGTAAAGATGAAAAGGAATTATCTCCATAAAGTCAGCTCTGAAGGATGTGAGTGAAGGTGGTATAGATCTGCTACCTGGAGATGCACTTTTCGACCTCGAGCACACAGATGATATATGGTCTTACTGTGCGATAGCATGCAGTCTGCCCAAATCGCACTCAATCAGTTGGCAATCAGTGTCTGTAAGTATGGTATGTACTTTGCGCCATCTAAGTGCTAAGTACTGTTACAAGATTGGGAGGAGCCTGTACCTGTACTCAATCTTGCAGGTGAACCGCTTGAAGTTGTTGATAAGTTTGTGTATCTGGGTAGTTGTGTGAGTGCTGACGGAGGGATGGTGGGTGTGACGAATGAGACTTCCAACCGTATAATGAAGGCTAGGGTGGCATACATCAACTTGAGCCACCTCTGGCACCGTCGCGACATTAGCCTGGGTGTCAAAGGTCGGGTGGGTATACAATGCTTCGGTGCGGGTTGTCTTGCTATACGCCTGTGAAACCTGGCCTCTCTAAGCCGAGACTGAGGGGCGATTCTGCGTATTCGATCAACTCTGTCTCCACAGGATTGCTTGCGTTCGAAGTCATCATCGCGTGAGTAATTCTGAGGTTCGATGGCGTGTGTAGAGATCATCATTCATTGAGTGTCGTCATCTGGAAACACCGGCTTCGGTGGCTTGGACATGTGCTGCGAATGTCATCCCAGAGTCTTCCCTACAGGTCTCTGTTCGCTAGCTAGCCCTGGGACGCGATGGAAAAGGCGGAGAGGTAGTCAGTCCATGGCGTGGTGTCGTGGGATGAGGGATGTTTGTTCTAGGCCAGTATCGGTTAATGCTTCATGTTTGCCTGGTTGGAGTCCGAGAGATAGCTCGAAACATTATGGGATATGGCCCAACGGCGAACGTGTTGCAATTTCCTTCTTTCTTGCCTTCCTGATGATAGTTGATGAATACTGTTTAAACTTGTTAAGTATGACTGTTTTCTTTCCAGATGAAGTTCTTTATCCGTTCTCCACCCATTTTTTTCTTTTCATTTGATGTTTTATTATTATTATTATTGTGTGGCGCATCTTTCTTGGTGCTATATTGTACCAAGTTTTTCTGTGTTTAAATAAATAAATAAAATAATTGATTTGAACTGAGAGTAGTAACGTTGGTCAGAAATGATGAAATATGTTGAATAATTAAGAGTGAAAGGGATCGACCATAAATATATATACTGAAGAATTGCATGATTGAGCTTGGCAACAAAAGGAGAGAGTGTAACAAATGGTTTTCAGGTAAAAAGTAAGTTTAACTAGAAAGAGTATAAAAAGTAACAGGTCATGTAACCACAGAAAAATACGTTTTTATTAGATAGACGAAAAAAAGGGGGGGTGGTAGAATGAGTCATGTTTAGACAGAAAATTTAAGGTTTCTAGACAAGACAGAAAATGACGTAGTGAAATTTGTGTTGTTTGTTATCACCAAGGTCGTGCAAGATTCACCACCACTATCTCTTTTTCTGTGTACATAAATTCGGTTTAAGCCGTTTGATGGCGAATGCCACAACAAAATGACGCACGCGGGGATTCTTTTGTCTGTTGATTATTTTAAACGCCTTCAAGTTGTCCACAATATGGTCAGTGTCTAGTGGGTGGAGTGCAGTCGCACTGTTTAATGCTTCTGGGCGCTTTAGTCTCGGTGTCTTTGATATGTCTTCAGTGATGCGGACAATAACTCTCTTCTCTCTGTTCTTCCAATGTATGTGTTCTGGCACGTACATGTAAATTGGTGTAGACTCATTTGAGAGTTTTGTCCACTTTTGACTGTCTTAAACAATTGGTCGTTTGTTAAACACATACAAGCTTCGCGGTTGGATATGTTCTTTTCAGGGCAGTCCTGCAGTCCCTATTCTACTACCAGTATTGTCAACCTTGAAGGCAAGTTGTAGAAAGATGGACTTTTTCACTACTGTTTTATACTTTACCTTGTCAACACTACGTTTTTTTCATATTTGTCGATGAACGTGTGTGGGTGATTATTGTCACGCAAACATTTTTCTTTTGTTTCCGAGAGCAATCATGCAATTCTTCAGTATATATATATATATATATTTATGGTCGATCCTTTTCACTTTTAATTATTCAACAACTTTCATCATTCATGACCAACGTGACTACTCTCATTTTCAATCAATTACTCCTTATCATTGTACAAAAGGTGTGTTGAGATAGATCTTGAATTTAATTTATAATTTTGGTTGTTGAATCAGGTTGTATGCCGCCAGTTGAGAAGAATCCACTAAATAATAATAATAATAATAATAATAATTGATCGAATCGCCACACTACGAATTATCATTGAACAAAGCTTGGAATGGCAGTCACTTCTCCATGTCAACCTCGTCGACTTTGAAAAGGCCTTCATCAAACAGCGTTGATCGAGAGGTGATTTGGAAACTACTTCGCTACTACGGGGTGCCGCCGACAATTATACACCTCATCGAATAGTTGTACGGCAATGCTGCATGCCAAGTAGTCTACAACGGGAAACTTACGGAATCCTTCGAAGAAGTGAAGACGGAAGTAAGACAAGGCTGGCTGTCTACTATCGCCAATGATTTTCCTGATTGTGGTAGATTGGATAATGCAACAGAGAGTGAGTAGTGGGGAAGCAGGCATAAAATGGACCCACACAAGAAACTTGGAGGATCTCATCTTCGCCGATGATATGTTTACGTCCGATTTCCCACAAACTGGGAGATATGCAAGTGAAAAGCAACAAGTTGGCGATAGAAGAAGCATCAAAGATAGGACTTCAAGTGAACACAGAGAAAACATAGGTGATAGAGATTCCTGGCCAACACCAACAGCAACAACAGACAACAATCATCCGTCATAAATGAGAGGAACCTGAAAGAAACAACCTCGTTTATCTAGCTGGGAAGCATCATTTCAACTACAGGCGGACGGAACTGACGAGTGTATCAAAGTAAGAATCGGAAAAGCAAGACAAGCTTTAATTACTCTTAAGTCTGTGTGGAGGTCAACAGGACTACTCAGCATGAAAATGAAAAGAAGATCCGGAATTTCAACTCCAATGTGAAGACAGTGCCACTAACTATACGGATCAGAGACTTGGCCAGCGCATCATAAAGAGCACCTCTAACAAACTACAGACCTTCATCAACAGCTAGCTGACTTCGCTCAATACTCAAGACCAGATGGCCGGCCAGAAAAGATCAGCAACAGATAGGGATCTCTGGCAATGAGCGAACCAACCCAGTGGGAACCGATTGTGAAACAAATAGTCAGGAAGAAATGGAGGTGAATTGACTGGCCATACTCTGAGGAAACTAAACATCAAGTGAGTGGCATCACACGCCAAGCCATCGCTCGAGTGGAACCCGATAGGGAAGCGGCGAATTGGTCGTCAGTGCAAGGGTGACTTGAAGGAGCTCATGTGAAGAGGAGATGAAAGCATGTGGACAGACCTGTAGGCAGGTGAAAACTTTACCAGAGAACCGAACGCAATGGAAACGTGAGTAGCTGAAGCCCTATGTTCCTCTAGGAATTAAAGGAATTAATAATAATCACTAAAACATGAACTCAGATTATCTTGGTACACATTTGTCGTTTTTGCTTTATTCAAATTCTTTTCAACCGCATACCGTGAGGTAAAACCGGTGTATTTTGTGGAGTAAGCGTTTATTGTTATTTGTCTTAAACTTGTTTATAGGAGTAGTCATTCTTCATATCACAGGATATTACACACAATCATATCAGTGCTACTTGTGTTTTCTTTTTTTGCCACTCTGTTATGTACTCGTCGACAAATTATTGTTATGTACTCGTCGAGAATATAATAGTCCTGACGCAAGAAGGCGGAAATCAGAAGACCACTAGGTTTGCGATGATACTTATATTTTCCAAACACAAGGAGAATGCAAAAGTGGTATCACACCAAAAATAAGTCAGTCCACAAATTGTGAATGCGAAATATCTATATGAATGTCCAGACAAAGGGTGTGAACAAATCACTAGACAGTCTTAACATGAATGGCTAATTATAATGAAGTATCGATCCATATATACATAGCGAAATATAACAGACATGTCAACAACCACCATATATGGATATATGTCACCAAGCAACGGACTGTCAACAAACACACATATTATATATAATATAAGGAGAATATACGTTGTCAAAGGAGACAAGTTCATACAAGTGAAATGGTCACAGACTAAGCGAGCAAACAGAAAGAGAGACCAACATAGACACACACATAAATATATATATGTGGATACATATCACACTCATTCCATCATAAAACTTGAAGATCGTAGAATGATCTTTTCCCATTCAATGACTGACTGACTGGCTGGTTTCAACTTTGCACAGATGAACAGCAGTTCAAGTCGTCACACTCCCTCCATATAGCACACAAAGCCAGAGAAGAAACTAAAAAGAAACGCAAAATAGCGACAATGTGGCAAAAAGAATGATAATACAGAAAAGCCACAGAATTTTATTGCATAAGTCACTAGGAGGGGATGCACCATTCACAACGATGACTTTCAGCCATTTCACCAATTGTCTGCAGTTATCGTCATTGGTTCTCACCACTCCGAGGACCTCAACCAGTCAGGAAGTCTACATCTCCCTCCCTACATGACTATCTAGCTTTAACTGTTGTGGATTTCATTGTCAGGAGAAGACAGGTTCTCGTTTGACCACCACTAGCTTGCTCTTTTCCAACCTGATCCATCCTATGTTAGTCAGCTAACATTGGTCGTTGATCGAAGAAGGTGATGGTTAGTCATGCATGCGTAACACGTGTCCTAATCATCTCTCTCAATCAGTGTAACTTCACAACCACCTTGTCTATTGATTTCCCCTCCCACCTACCTATCACTCGACCATGGATGCTTAAACTCATTACTTCTCACCCTATTATACCACTAATTGACATAGACAAGAGTTAGAACGCAGGCACTTAAAGTCAAAGACAGCTAACCTCTTCATGTATTCCGCTTTGAATGGTTATGTTTCGCTGACAGCCTTTTACGGAGGACGGAGTGGACTGCTGAACAACACAGTATACATGCCCTTTGATCGATGGTTGGATATCAAGTCTACGTCTAAGCTAAGTATAATCATTCAACTATTTGAGTTGAAATACAATTTTGCATTGATTGTAATTTGCTCCGGTCTCTGCAATATTGAGCAATTCAACCAATTTGGTTGACTTCAATAAGTCATTTCTAACGCCACATAATATTGTTGCAGTTGATTTTAAGGTGTTTTTTTCACCTTCTTCTTTTTCCCTTCCTTCAGGTCAGTCTGTAATATCTCAATTGTCTTCAGCTTCTGGTAGCGTAAATATTCACGAGGATATATTCGATCGTAGTCCAGTAGTTTTAATGGTATCTCAGGGTCCTGGTCATACAACTCATATAAGTCCTCCGACAAATCTACCTCCTAACTCTCAAAATTCATCGAACCAAACCACATCTAGTGGACATGTACAAATAGGCTCAACTCCATCTGGAAATACTGACGCGTTATCATCCAGTGGTAATATCCTTCTTACTGCCAAGCATCTACAAGCTGCACATGCTGTTCTAGCTACAGCTAATGCACATGGTGATGTACTGGAGTCATCATGGGGTATAATTTTGGTTACAATGCAGGTAGGTCATATGCTTCGTTTATATTTATATATCTGTGTATAATTTTGAAGATTGTATTATTTGGTTTTAATGATAATGTCCAGAATACACCCAAATCTCTATTTATTATTATTATTATCATTATTATTGTTCCCTTGGGTTCCTTGTGGAACATAGGGCTTCAACTGCACGTCTCCACTTGCCACTTCTGTCTTCTGCTGTACTTTTCACCTGCATCCACCTGTTAGTTCATACCGTTTCAACTCCTCTTCACACGATCTCCTCCATGTCACCCTCGGTCCGACGTCCCACTGGCCGCTTCCCTTTCGGGCTCCACTCGATCACTGGCCTGACGCACGCGCGATGTCACCCAGCGGCCTCCTCAGCGAGTGTCCAATCCATCTCCACTTTCTCCTGCATATTTGTTGGTTCCATTGGTTCTTGTTTTGTTTGTTTGTTCCCATAGTTTCCCTTGTTGGTGATTCTTTCCGGCCCGGCCATCTGATTGATGTTCAGTACACAGCAAAGACAGTTGTTGATAAAGGTAACGTCTGCAATCGGCTGTTGGAAATATTCCTTGTGACCGACCCGCCAAGGTTCTGATCCGTATAGAAGAACTAACTGACTTGACGTTGTTTGTATTGAAAATCCGACTGAATTTTGTTGTTGATGCTGAGTGACGAAGGTTTCCAGATTGGTTTCAGTTGGTTGATGAATGTGTTTCTCGCTCGCCTTCCCGATTCTCGCTCGATTTCACATCCTCTTCCGTTCCGCCCTATAGATGAGTGAATGAAGTAACCTCTTTCAAATCCCTCCTGTTGATGGTGATTGGCGCTGGATGTTGCTGTTGTTGTTGTTGACTGGTTATTTTCATAACCTCCGTCTTGTCAATGTTCACCTGGAGTCCTGTCTTCGCCGGCTGCTTCTTCGACCAGTGTGTTAGTTTTCGCTTGTAAGTCTTCGATTTTGTGACAGTGACATCAAACATAAATCATCCACGCGCGAAATCCAGATCTCTTTTGGGTTCTTCACGTTGGTCCAGGATATCCCTGTCTTCATGTTCCCCACTCACCCTCTGACGCCTAAACCAGTCCACCACAATTAGGAATATCTTTGGTCATAATGTGTAATTTAATAGATTGTATTATTTGGTTTTAGTGATAATGTTGAGAATACACTCAAGTCTCTCTATATTTGATCCAAATAAACTAAATCGTAATATATTATTTCTCTAAGTGGCGCACCTCTGAGGCTATATTAAATTGGGCGTAAGTGTGTAACTTTGTAAGAAAATACAGTGTTGAAAAGCAATTATTTTTTCATGTGTTCAGCTTTTTCTTCAATCTATATCATCCTACTACTTTCTAGTAGTATAATTGTTTATTGTGAAATTTCTGTCGAGTTCCAAAGTCCTTTTTAATAGACACAGAAAGACTGCATCGTGAGGTGTGTTTTTTGAAATGACCCAGTTTCACATCCAAAGCATCAGCTAAATTTAGTCATTTCCCCGTATAATTACCGTTACGATAAAGAAAGGAAGACGAAATTTGCAGTATAAAATGATATCATTCTATTTCACAGGTTCTCATCAGTTGCAGACTACTTTAATGTTCGAGTGGTGGTAGAAAAGAGATACTATAAAATTGATGCATCTAAATGAAAGCATTACAATGTTTTTAGTTTAAGCTTTCATCATCAATTTATACGCTTTTAAAGTTGAAAAGAGGGGGAGGGGTAAGAGAGAAAACAGAAAAAAATTGATTGACAGAACAGTGTTAGCTTGTAGCTTGTTCACATAGCAACTCAAGAAACAAAAGTGGTTACAGTTTATGAGATTAAGATTTGTTCAGTGAGTTGAGATCACTGAATTGGATGACTAATCAAAATCAAAATTCTGTTACCAAGGGACTGAGAGGTTAATCACACTCTCTTTCTGTATGCATTAGTTTGGTTTAAGTCTTTTGATTGCGATTGCTTCGGCAAATCGTAGTAAATTTGCTGTCCTTTGTCTATTTAATATTTTGAAGGACTTAGAAATCTCTACGAGATGTCCGGTATCAATAATGTGTCTGGTAATTGCACTCTGGGAATATCTGCTTCCTTTCAGGCACAGGGTTTTGGGAATATGTTCAGAAAACCGGATAGAAGCCCTTCTTTCTGTCTTTCCAATGTACTTGCTCCTGCAAGTGCACGTGAATTCATAAACGCAGTTAGAGGTGACATCAGCAGGGTATTTATCCAGTTTTGAGTGGATTAAAGAAGGAGTGGTGCTGTATACTGTTATGAGTTTTGCTGCTGGGAAGCTTCTGTACCTTTCAGTCTTTTGTGAATCTTTTGTGACACTGCATCTCCTTTGTATGGTAGACAGATAAAGACTTTTTTCTTTCAGCTGATGAGGAGAACCTGTGAAATAGAATGATATCATTTTATACTGCAAATTTCGTCTTCCTTTCTTTATCGAAATTTATCAAGGGAACCAAATGTATGAATTACCGTTTCATTTAACAACGGTTATGTCACTTGCGACAGTATTGGGACAATTAAATAAATGGTGGGATTTTGATTGGACACTAGTAACTAGTGTGACGTTTCTAGTCCTTTCTTTTGGGGCAGACTGAATTTTATCAGTCAAGTTTGCAATGTGGCCACCATTCTAGGTAGCTGGACATCACGGTGCACATTGATTTGATGATATGAGATAGTTGGAGGCAATCGGCCACAGGAAGTCTTGCCTAGACTTAGGTTTCGTGCTACGTTGGCACTCACCAGTCAGCAATGCGTATCTGAAACCTTGAAGGAACTCATGTCCCTTCTGAGATTCGAACCTGCGTCACTTAGTGCTGCAGTCAGAGACGTTACCTTGTGGTGAGATTATGAATGCACACTGATGAGGAGTTCCAAGATAGAGTGAATGAAACATCTTTTGTGTGCTCCCTATAGGTGATCAATAGCTAATAACTTCACAATAGACGAAAAATGAAGCACCTAGTTGAAACAAGTTGATTTGTCAAATGAAGTATAATTATATTTCAATAGTTTACACACAATGATAAGTTTTGTTATTGGTAATAATATAGCGGACATATTCATGGTCTTTTGGGAAGGGAATGAATGCATTTAAACCGTTCAAGTCATCATTAAAATGTCGGTGGAGATATGTAGACGACACGTTAGTAATATTGAAAAATAAACGATATTGAGAAACTCTTCTCAAACGCATAAATAACCATGTCGACTCAATAAAATTCACTATGGAAATAGAGAATGAAACTCTGAGGAAATGCCTATGCTACCTAGGCTGAAAAATACAAAGAGTAATAGATGGTAGGTAGCATAAAAACGGCGATATATAGAAAAACCACACACTCTGGAAGATCCCTTGATCATCATCACTCAGCTCATCCAATCACGGTAAAACGAGGATTATTACAAGGTCTTGAAGAAAGAATACGTAGACTTACAACAACGCCAGAGGACCAGGGTAAAGAAATAAACGTCCTATTCAAAATGCTACCCGAAAACAAATACCCTAAAGAATTTATATAAGATGATAATACGAAAAAGAGGGGAAAACCGGAGAACGACAAGATGGAAGAATGCAAAAAGAAAACAGTCACAATACCATACAAAATCGATACATCAGAAGCCCGCCAATTCGAAGCAACCTCAAAAATATTTTGGGATTCGCACAACGTTTAAACCGATGAATCTAATTAAAGTTAATTAAGTTAAATCAACTAAAAGATTCAATAAAAATGATGGATAAAAGCAGTAATTTAATTTACAAACAGATATCTCCTGCAGAGTGTTCGACTAAATATGTAGGTTAAACGATCAGATCACTCAAAATAAAAGTGAATGAACATAAACGCCCAACTTAAAGGTCAGCCAACAGAAAGACTAGCTAACAAAAATTAAGACAAAAATTCATCTATAGCTCCACATGCATCATGGGGCGAAAACCACAATATCGACTGGAACAATGTTTGTGTATTGTGAAAATTAATATGGACAAATGGAAAGAGAGACTACTAGTAACAGAATCTATATTGTTCATTAAAGTCATACCGGATACATGAAACAAGGGTGATTCAGCAGCAAAACTGTCAGCAACCTGGAGTATTTTCAACCTGATGTCAATAACCATAACTTATCATTGTGCGTAAACCATTGAAATATATAATTATGCCTTTATTTGATCTAGTCCACAATGCTCAGACTTTTTACTGACATTAAGTTGATATGTATTCAACACAATTAAGATATGCCGTCAGTTAATTTCAGTCCTAAGAGAGAAAAAAAACGTGAACAGTGAAGAAGATTTTCTACTGGACGATTCATTTTCATAAACTGCTGTACAATCTTAATTATACTTAACAAAGAATCCATAAGATAGATGACCAATCAGATTTTGGTAAAAGAAAATTGTCCTCAAAAATGCATAACATAATGTAAGTCGTCATATAGATCTGATGGAGATTTGTAGCTCAGGTGCAGGATTTTGATGTAGTTGTGTTCGCTGGGCTAGCGCTGGATGATTTATTTGCAAAGCTTTCATTTCCCTACCTTGATACGCAACATCTTCAGCGCATAGCTCAATGTGATGATTTCTCCACGAGTTCACCAGTCATTTCTCCTGGTGACCACCTGGAACCTCGTGATTGGTTGTTTTTGTGTGTTTTCATACCTTATAGCCTACTTGTATTGATATTGGTGTTGATTGTTTCCTTGACTTCAACTATGAACCTTTGTGTGTGAGGTTCCTTTCTTATCTGTTGGTAAATTTTTTTCTATCTCGATGTGTCTATTGATTGATGATTCACTGGAATAGCAGGTCTCAAAAAATTCTCTAGCATTCTTGGTGTTTTCTATGTCTAATATTTGAACGTTGGTTGTCCCAGTCGAATTGATGTCCGTAGTTGTCTGTATGCATTGAAGCGATATGAGGTTGTGGATGTCATGTCTTTTGACGGCTAGCTTATGATCATGGATACAAAGACACAATAATAAGATGACGGTTT